CACACACACACACACACACACACACACACACACACACCCTCATTGTCAATGCTGGTCCAGTAGTAGGGCATCCCCAACCAAAATTGCTGTGACAATGCCACTTCATTGAGTGCTGGAAGGCGTTCTATCCTACTCTTTTCCCAACTTCAGATGACCAGCTCCTCTCCTAGTCTATAGCTATGAAGTTGGTGGGCAAATTTATCGTTTTACTGGCAGACAAACAGTCTGAGGAAAGGAACTCCCTCAGGTGGCAAGGTAATCATGTTTGGTGCATGTCAAAGTAAGAGTGAGGTGTATGTCATTCCACATTCTAGGGTTAAGACGTTTTCTTTCCCCCTCTGTCCACAGGCGAAACAGGGAAGTGGAGGACGTGATGGGTGGTGGGAGGCGGGCGGGTGTGCTGCTCAGGGGTGCCACCATCCCAAATGCAGACAGCCAGCCAGCCAGCCTGTTCTCCTACGAGCCAGACACTCCAACACACTTAAGTGTCATAGAGAGCAACAACAGTCAGAGGTACCATCGTTATTCATCGATTTGTTTTCCCGTTATTTTCAGGAGTACCATCGAGAAGTGCTCTGCAAATTGCATCAACTCAACACTAAACATACCGACGAGGGGAGAACCAGAAAAAGAAAAAAAGTAAGAAAGGTCTAAAATTATTAGTAAAATATTAACCCCCCACCATCCCCGATAACAAATGAATAGGAACTACAGAAACTGTATACCAGGGTTAAGGAATGAAGTGAACGAGATACGGCGAAGGACAAACTGATTCCAGCTGCTAAGCAGTTGTCCTGTATAAGGAGCAGCAACAAAGTCCTACAGCTGATGTCCCGAGCTAACCCATGGCTTAGCAGCTAAGTCCTATTGTCCTGTATAAGGAGCAACAGCTGGCCATGCTCAAGCAGCTCAGTGCTATTGTCCTGTACAAGGAGCAGCAGCTAAGTCCTATTGTCCTGTACAAGGAGCAGCAGCTGATGTCCCAAGCTAACCCATGGCCCAACAGCTAAGACCTATTGACCTGTATAAGGAGCAGTAGCTAAGTCCTGTAGCCGCCCCAGCATCTGTCCTATTGTCCTGTATAAGGAGCAGCAGCTAAGTGCTACAGCTTCTGTCCCTAGCTAACCCATGCCCCACCAGCTGAGCCCTACAGCTGCTGTCGCTAGCTAACCAATGCCCCAGCAGCTAAGTCTATTGTCCTGTATAAGGAGTAGCAGCTAAGTCCTATAGCCGCTGTCCCTAGCTAACCCATGCCCCAGCAATTATCCTGTATAATGAGCAGCAGCTAAGTCCTATACCCGCTGTCCCTAGCTAACCCATGACCCCAGCAGCTAAGTCCTATTGCCCTGTATAAGGAGCAGCAGCTAAGTCCTATTGTCCTGTACAAGGAGCAGCAGCTAAGTCCTATTGTCCTGTATAAGGAGCAGCAGCTAAGTCCTACAGCTGATGTCCCTAGCTAAACCATGCCCCAGCAGCTAAGCCCCACAGCTGCTGTCACCAGCTAGCCCATCCCCCAGCAGCCAAGTCCCATTGTCCTGTATAGCGCCAGCGGCTAAGCCCTACAGCTGCTGTCCCTAGCTAACCCATTCCCCAGCAGCTAAGTCCTATTGTCCTTCAAAGGGACAGCACCTAAGCCCTACAGCTATAGGGGCAGCACCTAAGCCCTGCAGCTGCTGCCCATGCCCCGGCAGCGAAGTTCTATAGCCACTAGAGAATCAAGTGGATAAGATGGGGTGAAGGATGTAAGGGATTCCAGATGCTTCATTGTTTGTTGAACCTTCTTTTTGCAATATGAGGGCAAGGTGGGTAGAACACCCACCAGGCAACATAACATCAGCCATCTGGCAACATAACCTGATATCTCTTTGGTCCGTCAACCACCTTTACTACGCTTTTAGTCCTTTTCCCCATTTTGTTTTCTTTTTCTGAAATTTTCTTCTTTTGTTTTTTTCCTAATGCTGTACAGATCATAAACAACTTCTTCTAGTAGCCTTCCACGCAAGAAAAAAAGAAAAGGGGAAAAAAAAAAAAAGAGTTGGACAGAGCGAAGCACAGATGTTACCAACGGCCATAGCTCGGTTGGCACACCCACCCATTGGTACACCCATGAAGCGTTGAATATTGAAGTACAGTCCTGAGTTCAAATCCAGATGGAAGTAGATGAATGAAATCAGTTCAAACTTCAAATCACATAATTGAATAAATCTGAATTACCTGGTGCCGGCCAGTTCAACTATGATATCTTAAGGCTGTTGCCCTTTTTCAAAGGGGAAAAAAAAAAAAAAAAAAAAAAAAAGAACACGTCTGACTATAATGCGACGAGATCCATACCAGTTTGACTACACTGTCTCTCTCTTCACAAACAAATACGAAGGCGGAGAGGATATCTAGTATTTAAACGAGGGAAATGTCCATTTTGTACCAGTATTCACGCAATGAACTCCTCATTGCACGATGGGGGGTCCATTACACAACGGGAGGGTCCGTTACACAAAGGGCGTATTGAGAAGGGGGACTCACTCTAGCAAGCCTTTGTCGTAGTGCAATGAGCTCTTCATTAAGCAGCTTTTCTGCCTGGGCATACTCCTCATCAAGGGAATCATTAACAGTGGCCGCTCTTGCCCCCTGAATAGACAGAGTCTCGCCCGCATTTGCCACATGTGCCGATGGTGATGTCGAATCCCTTCCCTCCAATCCATCATCGCCCTGTGGCAATGGGCAATCAGTAAGGATATGTTCCACAGATGAAACAGTTGGATCCTTCCCTAATCCCCCCCCTCTTAGCCATGAAGGTTGTCATTATTCATTCAGAGGGGAACTACTGACAGCAAGTAGGAAGACTTGCATACACCCACTCTTCTCGCCTCCCTGTTTCACCTTTCCCCCTTGCCTCCCTTCTCCTCCCATCCCATCACTTCTCCATCCTCCCTACCTTCACTTTTCCATTCTCCCTCCCCCAGCCGCTCCGTCTCTTATGCGCCAAAGGTCAACCATCACTCAGAGCAAGACTACCAGTGGCAAGCAGGCAGGATGCCATACTCCCTCTCCTCTCCCTGCCATCTCCGCCCCTCTCCTCCCCTCTCCTCCCCTCTCCTCCCTTCCCTTTCCCTCCCCTCCCCTCTCCTCTCCTCTACTCTTCTCCCCTCCCCTTACTTCTGCATCCTTCCTCCCCCTTGGCCATCAAACTTGCCCCAAATACTGCCCTCTTTCCTCTCCTCCCTCTCCTCCCTTCCCCTCCCCTCAACTCCTCTCCCCTCTCCTCTCCTACCCTCATCCATCACTCAGACCAGGGCTGCCAGTAGCAAGCAAGCCTCTCCTCTCCTGTCCTCTCCTCCCCTCATCCATCACTCAGACCAGGACTGCCAGTAGCAAGCAAGCCTCTCCTCTCCTCCCTTCCCCTCCCCTCCCCTCCCCTCTCCTCTCTTCTCCTCTCCTCCCTTCCCCTCCCCTCCCCTTCCCTCTCTTCTCCTCTCCTCCCTTCCCTTCCCCTCCCCTCCCCTCTCCTCCCCTCATTCATCACTCAAACCAGGATTGTCAGTAGCAAGCAAGCTGCATGGCATACACCCTCTCCTCTCCCCTCCCATAACTTCTCCTCCCTCCCTCCCCCTTTCCTTCCATCCCCCTTAAAGCGCTTCCCAGTCAAATTTACCGACAGTCAATAGACCATATCCAATGATCCATCAAACAACTCACTGTATGGGGGATAAGCTTGACCATGAGAGCCCTCCTTGTCATTCACACAAACTATATACCCATCCACAAAGAGAGAACCAATCCCATAATCAAGCTAAAGGAATCTGATAGAGACAAAAATAGACGCCCCAAATCCACTCAGCAAAAAATAAAATAAATAAATGACAATGCTGAATAAAAGAAAAATGAATAGGAGAAGAATGTGAGCCTGGCCCAAAATGGTGGCCGTGGCTCACCAAGTCGTGTGTGCACCCAGAAGGGGCTGCGCTGCCTGTGGCCTTCCTATACCCCCCCCCCCTGCAAACCTTCCTATACCAAGACAGAAGCTCACCAGTACCCTTGACCCTTTTGCTATGCCCTGAGGGTACATCCAAAACACGCCTCTCCGAGTTAACCAACCGTATCCCTGAACATACTGACGCTTTAAGCAAGAGTCCAGGACAGATCATCTCCCTAGCACACCACCAAAACTCAAAAAAGCAGCACACATCACCCTCACAGATAAGACTACAAAACATCTGCGCACCGAGCATCGAGCATTATCTAGGACCACTCGCAAGAGTCGAAACCCTATCCTCCTCCTATATACCAGACCATACGCCATGGAACTCAGGCACTTAACCATCATGGTTAAGGGGCAGCATGAGTGAGTTAACATATCCAAACAGTGGTTTTTGTTTCTGAAACCATGGCATATCGGAAAGGTCGATAAACCAGCGTGCGGATGCCCTCGATCCTTTAACCCTCTCTCTTTTTGAGACGCGGACACACGGAGGCAATTACACCAACAGGATGTTACAACGAAGAAAGAAGAATCGCCAAATTGAAAGACCCTTTAATACCACAACTGGTAGCACCAAAAGAAATGGCTCAATCGTGTGATCTGCATCCCAGCAGCAATATTATTCGCCCACGACCTTACCGTTACTCGTCCGGGCTTCCAACTCGTCAGGGCTTCCAACTCGTCAGGGCTTCCAACTCATTCTAGCAGTGTTGCATGAGGTCTAATGGGCCATCCATACCTAGCAGTGTCATCCTACTGCCCCTGGAGAGCAGTCTAAGCAGAGCAGTGTTGCTGGGAACAGACCAATGTGGGACACATCAAGTCGATTGTGGAACCGATGACCAAAGCTGAGCCGTCAGAACTGATAGAAACAACATGGTCTATATACAACCCCGCCAAATGGGCTGACAAGCCTGACATATGCCTTTTTTTTTTTTTTTTTTTTTTTTTTTTTTTTTTTAACCGGGCTCATGCTACTAGACAGGGGGATGCTCTTAACATATGCATATTCTCAGTTCCGTTGTAAGACAAATTCAAATTACCAGTTCAAAATTCAAATCCTACTGGATACAATAAGGTTGGGACTCAGGACCATTCCTCTTCTTTTTTTATTTTATATAAAGAAAAGGCAAGGTTTATGTACCTGAGGCTTCGTGAAGAGAAAACTATAGAGCAGAGGCTCGATGAAGATAGAACTAGACTATGTATGCGAAAAACTAAGTAGCTGAGTCTTGATCACGAGCAAACTAAACAATGACAGGGCAGGTTCAGCCCACCTCAGTTTGTCTGATGGGCACTATGATGATCTCTCTTGGGTGCGGCCACTTGGGTAGAAGATAGTTGCCTCTGGCCTTGTCTGATGGGCACTGTGATGATCTCTCTTGGGTGCGGCTACTTGGGTCGATCGTTGTATCGCTTTGGAACTTGTAGACCTGGCTGACAGTCTGTACCGGTGACCTTTGGCTGAGGACCTGTATTTTTGTCTTAGTAGTCCCTGTTCCTGAATTCGAGCCGGTTACCTGTTTTCTCGGGGATGGCGTAGATTTGTGGACTAGTGTAGTTCTGGACTTGGACCGATATTTGCATTTGCTTTTGCAGGGTTTCGGAATCGAGCTGGTTACCTGTCCTTGGGATTTTGTTGATACCTGAACTATTGTAGCACTGGGAATGTATCTAGACCGTAACCGTGGTGTTAGAGACGGGTTGTACCAAGAATTGGTCTCGGGGCATTTCCGCACAGTTTTTCAGAACTTCAAGCCGGCGGCCAATCCACTTGAGCTTGTCGTTGACTGACTTGAAGGCGGCGGCGTCAGGAAACACCCAATTGCTGGCATGTTTCGTGTATACCTCGTCCCTGCAAGCTATCCCATTCTCGGGATAAGCTTTGACCATAACCTGCTTACCACCTTGTGATACAACCCTTGTTTCCGACGGCAGCAGGAATTTGGCCATGAAGAAGGCCCTCGCAGATGGTAGCCCTTCCAGGGGGATCTCAAGTTTCCCCGTCCGGGGACTACCCTGGTCCCGCTGGATGGTAAGTGCTCTGCCCTGGTGCGGGGTTCTGAGCTTGTCTGCCCAGGTGATCTGTGGTTGACCATCGCTCGTCTCATGGCTGGAGGGGGGGGGGTTCACATGCTGTTCTAGCTGCTTCTCCTCCTCCGTAAGAACCCCCATGTCTTCAGAGATTTCGTTTTGTGGGGGGGGGGGGGGGTTCAGGGGTCGTGTTCTGTTGAGACCATCGTTTATATCGAAGGCGTTCATCTGACAGCTGTCTCATTGCCCCACTGTAGAACAGCATCGAATCGAGCCGTTTGTGGGATGTCTTTTGCGGTTTATTGTGTTTTATTTTGTTTTGGTTTGTTTTGTTTTAGTTGTTGTACTTATTATGCTTTTAACGTTTTTAGTTATTTATTATTTAATATTTCGATTTATTTTCTTTCGTGCTGATCCAGCAACACCAAGGACTGGTTGGGCACGGTATCCCTCCGTTCCTTTCTCCCCTCCGTTCCTCTCTCTTCTTCTCTCCGTTCCTTTCTCCCCTCCGTTCCTCTCTCTTCTTCTGTCCTGCGTAGGTCAGTACAATCCTAAACTACTTTGGCCGTGAAATCCTCCCCCGAACTCCTAATCCCGAGGCTATTTGACGCTGTCTTTTCCTTCGATCTTCCTCCCACCCACATGCTTTATCTTCCCTTCTCCCTCGTGGTGCCTTCTTCCCAATACCCCCGATCTCCGCCGCTGGTGGAATCCTCTCCCGACGTCCACAGTCACGCTGTCCTTTCCTTCGATCTTCTTCCCAACGGCTGCGTGGCTTACCTCCGTTCGTGCCTCTTTTCCTATCCTGCGTGGTCCCCTCCCTTCACCCCCCAGTCTGCCAAAACCTTTTTTTCTTACCCTTCTTTTCTCCGTCCTCGATGGCCCCGGGCGGCGATGTCCTTTTCCTTACTCACAATACGGCTGGCTTCCCTTGTCACTCCTTATCCCCCTTCCACTACACCCTTTGCCCTTGTTTTCTTCTTCCCCGGTTTCCTCCCTTCACCCCCCAGTCTACCCAAACCTTTTTTTCTTTACCCTTCCTTTCGCCTTTCTCGATTGCCCCCGCCAGCGACCCACGATGCTGCTGAGTCGTGCTGACTTCCCCTGTACCTACTTCTCCCCCTTCCACTACTCCGTTTGGCCTTCTTCTCTTCTTCCCCGACTGCCTTGTCTTCCAAAGGCCGACGGCGCTCCCGCACGGTGCTTTCTTGCTGACTTTTCCAACGCTCCTTCCTTCTTTTCTTCTCCCCCGGTTTCCCGACTTGCGCTATCCTTGACACTTCCGTGCGTTACTCCCTTCTTTCATTCTCCGATCCGCCTGGTCAGTCGGCTCTGTCCTTGCTCTCTCTCGCCCCTGCTGCCCGCAGCTCCTGTCCCCCACGCTTTCCTTCGTGGAGTGTTTTCGTCTCTCCCGTTCCGAAGTCGTATCTTGGGGTGTCACTCTCTTCCCCCACTTCGTCCTTCCTTGCCCCTGTACTTCCCTCGATCGGCGCTATCCTTGATTCTCCCGTGCGTTACCCCCTTTTGTCATCCTCCGGTCCGCCTGGTCTATCGGCTCTATCTTTATTCTCTCTCGCCCCTGCTGCCCGCTGCTCCTTTCCCCACGCCTTCCTTCGTAGAGTGTTTTGGACTCTTTCGTTACCGAAATCGTATCTTGGGGGTCCGTCGGCTCTATCTTTGTTCTCCCTCGCCTCTG